TCTTTCTCTTTGTATATCTGACTTTGTAATAAAAAAAAAAATCTTAAAAAAAAAAAAAAAACACCTGACTATGCTTCTGGGATGCTGGGATAGAGTGTGGCTGCCTCCAACATTTAATTTATTTCTTCCCTGTATGCTGCTGTGTGCGAGAAAAGCACCTCAAATACATTTCTCTGTCCCTCAGAGTGTTTCTTAGAGATATGATCTTGTCACACAGCCACCCTTTAAGCAAGAGGAAATGAAAATGCGGGAGCTGTATGTCTGTCAACCTAGAATACCCTGACTTCAAAACACCATGCTGATTAGGACAAAGCAAGATGCCCCAGGGATTCCAGGGGCGTTTTCCTCCCAGCAGCCCTTACTCAGCACAGCCACTTGGGTCGGCTCTTGCACTCCCCACTGGGTTACAAGCTCAGTTGTTCTGTAAGAATTCAGCTTCTCAGCTGGGCACAAGGGTGTGGGTAGGAGTCCACTCCTCAGACGGACTGCTAGAAAGTCCTCCTCCCCTTTTGTCCTTGTCCTTCTTCCTGGATCATGTACGAGCCCACCGGCCTGAGCTCCCAGGAGCATCTCGCTCTCCACTGTCGCTATGCTAGCCTTTGGCCTCCTTCTTCACAGCCAGTGCTAACTACTGCCCCCTCCGTACTTGCCATTTTCAAGTCCTACTACATATCACAGCCAGAGCAATTGCCGGTTGCTCCATGACTTGAATCCCTCAGCTTTGGCAGTTGTTGAGCTCTCCTTCCTGTCTTCCTCTGTCCTGTGGTTACTTCAGGACTCATCACACTGAGTAACTTGTGATTCCTCGAAGCTGCCATGCTCTCTCTCTGACCTTTGGCATGTGTAGCTCCCTCAGCCCAGATGCCTCTTGTATCTCTGACTCATCTCTTCCGCTTTCGGTTTAGAGTAGTGCTGTCCCATAGCAACTTGTGAAACATGCTTGTGAGGTTTCTAGTGGCCACATAAAGAACATGAATGTCTCAAAACCTCAGTAAAATCCTGTAAGACACAAAGGTGAAGGGAGATGTAGTCTTACCCAAATGGTAAGATTGCATTTCATGGAAAACTAATTGATGCTGATTTAGTTTTATGCTTAATTAATTTTGAACATTTTATTCCACAGTCATACTGGTCTCTTTTCATATTTTTTATGGGGTAAGGGATTTGTTTTGTTTTTAAACATTTGTTTATTTATTTGTGAGACTGGTGTGGTGACATAATAGGCTAATTCTATACCTGTGGTCCTGGTTTGTGTCCCAGCTGCTCCACTTCCCATCCAGATCCTCGCAAATGGCCCGGGAAAACAGCAGAGGTTGGCCCAAGGCCTTGGGGTCCTGTACCCAGGTGGTAGACCCAGAAGATGCTCCTGCCTTCTGGCTTCAGCTCAGCTCAGCTCTGACTGTTGGGAGTGACCAAGGAATGGAAGAGCTCCCTCTCTGTGTCATTCCTTCTCTCTCTGTAATTCTACCTTTCAAATAAAAATAAACAAATCTTAAAAATATATATTTTAAAGTTAGAGAGAGAAAGAGAGATGGGGGGGGGGATTTTTTCATTCTCTGGTTCATTCCTCAAATGGCTACAGGGGCCAGAGCTGGGCCAATCAGAAACCAAGAGCCAGGATCTTCTGGGTTTCCCACATGGGTGCAGAGATCCAAGGACTTGAGCCATCCTCTGCTGCTTTCCCAGGTGCATCAGCAGGGAGCTGCATTGGAAGTAGAGCTACTAGGACTTGAACTGGCACCCATTAAGAGTGCCAACATCACAGATGATAGTTTTATATACTATACCTCAGTGTTGGCCCCAGTGTTCACATTCTTAATAACACCAAAATGAGCTAATAGTCATTTTATTAGGTAGCACAAGTTTGGACAGGGAGAACCAGGCATCGCCATTTCACTGTCCAAACGCCAGCAGTGGCTGGGGATCTCGTGGGTGACCCAACCAATTAAGCTACAACCTGTTGTCTTGCGGGGTTCACACTAGCAGGAAACTTACACTAGGAACTAGAGCAAGGATTATCCCACACACCCTGATAATGGCACACAGGCATCACAACTAGCAGCTTAAAAACTGCTATGCCAGATGCCCATCCAAAGAAGAGTGGTTAAAGAAACTGGTACACCTACTCCATGGAATATCACACAGCCTTTAAAAAGAAAGAAATTATACCACTTGCAATTAGATGGTCCCAACTAGAGACCATTATGTTCAGTGAAATAAGTCAATCTCCAAAAGACAAATACCATATGTTCTCTCTAATATAAGGAAACTGTCACACAAATTGGAATGTATAGTGATGGAGTAATGGAGACTAACATATCCAGATGTGAAGACACAATGCAACATTGCATCCCTACTTCCAAACAAAAGATGGACTCCCGATGAAAGTGTTTGACATATCTAGACAAAGGGATGGGACTGTCTGACATTGTCTGTACCAGCAATGTTGGGGCACACTTAAATAACAGACTGATGGAATTGTAATTCCTTATGAAGGAATGCACTATTGTGACAATGTGGGAAAAATGAGTCAGGAGAGGGAAGGATGGGAACTGGGCGGAGGGAAATTTCAGACTATACAGACTATACTATGATAAAATTCAAAATTTAAAATAAAAGAAATAATAAAAAAAGAAACCCTGCTTGCCCCTAGATACCTTGTTCTCTGACACACTCTGTATTAGGTGCCCTCTGTTATGTTACTACTGTGTTCTGGGCTTGAGCCAATCTTAGTACTCTGTGATATAGCTGCCTGATTACTTGTCTGTTCTTCACTAGACTCTGAGTTTCTTGACAGTAAAGATTTTGTCGTCGTCATCTCTGTATTGCCATTGCCCAATGATTCTGGCCTAAGAAGAGTTATTGGTTTGTTTGAATGAAATTGAAAGCCTCAAAAGCAATCTTCTATAGGCCTATGAATCATGTTAGATCTGCTAAGTTCACTCACTCCAATCTCATCTCCCACCATCCTCCCCTTTGTTTACCCTGCTCTAGTCACACTGCTATCCTTATATTCCTAGAACAGCTGAAATAAGTCAACCTCGGGGCCCTCACTATGTACTTTTTGCCTAGAAAGCCCTTCCCTTGGGAAGACATTGGCTTTGTTTTTTTTTTATTGCTTTCAGGTACTTTATGAAATCTTCCTTCTCAGGTCAACCTTTCTAAAATAGACCTCTTCCCACTTGTCATTCACTATCCCCTTAACATTTTCACTTGCCTACCCATCACCATTTGACAAGTTATTCATTTGGTTTGACTCTCTACTAAAAATACAAGCTTCTTGATATTAAGCATTCTCTGCAGTGTTCAGTGATATACGCTCTGTACTCAGAATCATACCCAGCATAACAGGTGCTCAATAAATATTGATGAACTACAAAAAGTTGGACTATGCACCATAGGAGAGCTTGAAGAAAGGGAAAAGACAAGCAGATGCTCAGAAACAGAGTCCCATAACTTTCAGCATTTATCCCATTTTAAGTGTCACCATGTCTAAAGTGCTTGCAAAACCACTCAGCGATCAGCTTTTCCTTGGTTTATGGTGCATGTGTTGTTGCAGGAGATAAAGGCTGACCATGAGGTTTAGGAGCTTGAAGCTTCATGAGTATTTTCCAACTCTCTGCCCCAGAACCAGGGGATCCCCGATTCTCTAAAGGCAGAACGACTAGGAGGGTTGGAATGTGGCTGTTGGAAGCTTCCATGGCAGTTGGCAAAGGCCACCAGTTGGGCTGATGGCAGACTCCAGCACGACCCACTGAGTGGAATGAGCCAGGTAGGGAAGCGCTGGTGAAGGGTAGCCTTCCTGAACATTGAGTTGTGAATTTAGAGTACAGTGAGTCATGGTAGCCAATGGGTCTGAGCTCTGGGTCTGAGCTCTGAACCCACTGATCCCTGTGCAATAGCACCTGGTGATGCAGACCAAGTTGCTTAGGTGATTCCTTGCCTTCACTTGTAAAACAGTACTTTGTGTTTGTGTTTCCCAGGGTTCTTGTGAAGATGTGACATACATTTGCGCACTGATAAGTGTTTGACAAACACAAGTTATTGGCTCTGGAGGCATTTTCTCTTGAGCCCTCTTGTCTGCCCACCCTACATTTAATCATTTAATTTATTGACTTTATATAACCCAAGACTCTAGTAAACTTTTATTTTATCATAAAACTCAGGTTCATTCATCCTAAATATCTGTCAGGGTTCAGGAAAGCAAATCTCAATCTGACTTTGGAGAACTACCATAATTTGTGGCTTAGTGATCCACATCTTGGCATCTCAACTAATACTGTTTCCCAGTTAATTCAGATGTGAGTGTCTTAGTCCCACAGACTGTAAACATCTTGTTGTTGAGAGCACAAACTTCTGAGTCATTTAGTGCTGGGCTTAACGCTTGGGTCCAAGACTTACTAGCTGTGTAGAAATTTGGGTGGGTTACTTAATCTCCTTAAGTACTAGTTTTCTTATCCATAATACTGACATCATAATAATATCATCTGTGAAGTGCTGTAAGAATCAAAACAGATTATGCATCCAACTTTTAACATCCAGGACTTGGTACTTAGTAAAGACTAGCAATCATATCTTCTTAACACTAGCTGCCAGCACAAAAGTAGGCACATATTAGTATTGGACTTTCCCAACATACATGACAGAAATGGCAGTAAAGCAATAAAAACACAGGAATTCCTGGCCAATCTTGGCTTTAGTTTCCCAGTGTATCAATAGGAACTGAAAGGTTTATGGCTTGCTGATCCAAGCAGAGGCTTAAACAGTAATATAAAAGCATTTTGCTTTCGTGTCTTGACAACTGATAAATCTCATTTAAAGTATGGCAGTTTAAGCAGAGGAAGGGAATATTGGCGATGTTAGTCCTAAAATGTTGATGCAGTGGTTGTGGGATGCAAGAGTGAGACAAGCAGGACACATATTTTTTAGGACACTTCCTAATTTCAAATTCTCTACCCAACCTTTGGACCACATATCGATTTTGTTCAAAAATGTGATGAGTGCTCGTTTCAGCAGCACATATACTGAAATTGGAACGATGCAGAGAAGATTAGTGTGGCCCGTGCAAAAGGATGGCATGCAAAGTTGTGAAGCATTTCATATTTTTTTACAATGAGAAACTGTTATTTTATGATCTTTTCCTTAAAAGCTTGAATAATAAAAAAAAGAAAATGTGATGAACACAAATATGGGTGCATTATCCTGCATCATTGAGCTTGGTTAACATTATATTTACTTATTTGGTTAACTCACACAGATAATGGTTTTTAAACTTGCACTGGGCTGTATGTTGGGTTCCAGGGGTCAAAGACCAAGCACAGTTCTTGACCTCATGTTCTGATGGTTGAGACAGACAAAACAACTCTATTGGACGTGTCATTTGTATACAAAATGAAGTGGAGTGTGGATGACTGGGCAGGGGCAGTATGGTGAGGTAAGGACAAAATTTCACAGAAGAAATGGCAGACTTAATAGTGGCTAGATTTTGACTTGTTCTCTGGAGAAAAAGACAACCTCACAGGGAGGAAATAGTACCAGGCAAGACAGAGGTTCATGGGATGCCATTGTACCACAACATAGGATAGCTGTTGGTAAACAACACCAAAAAGTTTATTTGTCTAGAGCATGAAGGATATTGACTTCTATCCTGAACAGAACTCTATTCAGAAGGTAACATGGAACTTCTGACGGGCTTTAAGCCGGGGATGCCCTGCTGCCACAGGTAGTGCTGATATACTGAGGAGGAGAAATGGTGTGGGGAGGAAGATGGAGAATGTCTAGGTCCAGGAGAATTGGCTCTGAATAAGGACTGTATGTACTTGGCTGGAGAGAGGTCAATTTCAGGCGTGTTTCTGATAGAAATCAATCCAAGTCAGGGCTGCTTTCAAATTATGCACACACATACACACACACGCATACACACACACCTCACACAGCAATAACTCCACGGAGAAGGAGCAATCACAAGCAATGTAACAGTAGTAGGAGAGAAGAATAATGATCTATGACCGAATGAAATTCTGTGAGCATCTGTTCTGTCTCTGACCAGAACACGATGGCCTTGATAGTCAGCCTATAACCTCTGTTTCCCTTCCTCCCACCCCCAACACACTCACAGTGGCCTCTCTGCCAGATAGGAAATTAATAATAGCCGCCAGCTGCTCACTGGATTGGCCATCTGAAATTAACGATAGGGTAGGGAGGAGCTCTCCACTGGGAAGGTCCTGTCATTTTCTCCCTGAGGGTGTGGTCCTCTTCCAACCCCGCTTGCTCTCCGGACGCAAAGCAAAGCTCAGCCTGTGGAGTGGGTGACAGTGCTCTGTCCAACTGAGCCAACCAGTGCTGTTTGTACATGGGTTGGGGGCGGAGAGCACAGGTGGCCAGAGATTGTGAGGCAGGGAGGGAAGGCCTGGCAAGGGTTTGGGAGGGCAGAGAGGAGTTGGCCCCATTCAGCACCTCTTCCTTGGTCTCTAAGGCAATCAGTAAGTGTTTATCAGGAATTGTCTGCCTGCTACCAAGGCCTTCTTTCATTACGATCTGCACACCCATTTATTCATTTACTCAGTAAGTATTTGTTAAGAACCTAACAGGCATCAGCACCTGCCCAGGCTTTAGGAACTTGGAAACAGTAAATGAAATCAAGCAGTGTCTACATCTGCCCTCATTCTCTTGTTAGTTCTGCTCCAAGGCTGGCAAATGTGTGTTGAACGAAAGCTGGATGATTTTATCAGCCTCACCCACTTAGTGGTAATTTCTGATTTTCCACTGTTTAGCTTATTTGCTAGCAAAAAAGACATGTTCAACTAGGGGCAGGTGCTGGGCCTAGCAGGTTAAGTCACTTCTTGGGACATCTGAACTGCGGATGGGAGGCCCTAGGATGAAGTTCTGGCTACTCTGGTTTTTGATCTAGCTTCCTAGTAACACACCTGAGAGGCAGTAGATGAAGGCCTAGGTAATTGGGCTTCTGTCACCTGCGTGGGAGATCCAGATGCAGTCCTTGGCTCCTGGCTTCAATCTGCCCCAGCCGTTGCAGGCCTTTGGGGAGTGAACCACACAGAAAAATATTTTTCTTACTCTTCCCTAGGGGAAAAAAAAAAATCTTAAAAAAAAAAAAAGAACTGCTCAGTGAGAGAGTACTGAATCACAAAATTTCAGTTTTCTGTGTGGTAATTTTTAAAAAGATTTATTATTTATTTTTATTGGAAAATTAGATATACAGAGAGGAAGATATAAAGAGAGGAAGATCTTTCATCCACTGATTCACTCCTCAAGTGGCCACAACGGCCAGACCTGAACCAATCCAAAGCCAGGAGCCAGGAACTTCTTTAGGGTCTTCCATGTGGGTTCAGGGTCCCAAGGCTTTGGGCTGCCCTGAACTGCTTTTGCAGGGCACAGGCAGGGAGCTGGATGGGAAGTGGGACCAACAGGATTAGAACTGGTGCCCATATGGGATCCCGGCATGTGCAAGGTGAGGACTTTAGCTGCTAGGCCATGCCGTTGGGCTCCCCGAGTGGTAATTTTTAACTCAGTGTTTCATGTGTCAAGAGCCTTTGGTACTGAAGTGAGAAATAGATGGACCAGTGTGTTGTAGCTATGTGAAAATTTCTCTGATCAGAGTTAAAGAAGTACATGGCATGCTTTAGAGTAGATTTAGTCATTTACTTATTTTAATTTTTTAATTTTTTATTACTTTTTAAAAAATTGTTATTAACATTGTATTATGTGATACAGTTTTATAGGCACTGGGATTCCCCCACCCCTCCCACAACCCTCCCCCCATGGTGGATTCCTCCACCTTGCTGCATAACCACAGTTCAAGTTCAGTTGAGATTCCTTCATTGCAAGCATATACCTAGCATAAAGTCCAGCATCTTATTGTCCAGATAAGTTCAGTGGCTTCTTGGGGAGACCTTCTCTGGTCTGAAGGTAGAGCTAACAGAGTAAAGTTCCGGTCAGTTAATTTTTTATTTTTAAAGATTTTTTTTGAAAGCCAGATTTGCAAAGAGAAGGAGAGACAAAGAGACAGATTTCCCATTTGCTGGCTCACTCCATAGCTGAGCCAGTCAGTCTGAAGCCAGGAACCAGGAGCTTTCTTTAGGATCTCCCATGTGAGTGTAGGGTCCCAAGGACTTAGACCATCACCAGTTGCTTTCCCAGGTGCATTAGCAGGGGCTGGATCAGAGCCCATAGGGGATGCTGGCACTACAGGCAGTGGCTTAACTCACTATGTTGTTATATAGCCTCTTAGTCCTTTATGCTGTATCTGATTTAGCAGTATCAGGTGACTAAACATCCATCTTCTCCTAGCGTTTTGTTTTACTTTACTTAACTATCTGTTCATTCGCTTGAAATGCAGAGTATCAGAGAGGGAGAAAGATATTTCACTACCTAAATGATCACAAGAGCTAGGACTGTACTACCATAAACTCAAGAACCAGGAACTCTCTCTGTGTCTTTCAAGAACTTCATTTAGGTCTCTGACATGGCTGCAGGGACCCAAAGACTCAAGTCACCTTCTAATGCTTTCCCGGGTACATTAACAGAGAACTAGATGGGAAGGGGAGGAAGCAAGACTTGATCCCACATGGGATAGCTTAACCGACTAGCCACAATATTGGCCTCTCCCAGCATTAAGATTTAATGAAAGGCCACCTTGTACATGGCCAAAATGTCCAGAGCTGAGCAAGTCTGAAACCTGCAACCAGAAGCTTCTTCCTAGTCTCCCACATGGATACAGAGTCCCAAGGCTTTGGGCCATCCTCTGCTGCTTGCCCAGGCCACAAGTAGGGAGCTGGGTGGAAGGTGGAGAAGCTGAGACACAAACAGCGCCCATATGGGATCCTGGTGGGGAAAATAGTCAATTGAGCTATTTTTGACTCTGGGTCCTGAAATTACTATTACTTTTAAATTCATTTCTATTTCTGTTACTTTTTCCTTGATCCCTACTGCTTTTTTTCTTTCCTTTGGATTGGATAACCTCCCCTTCCCACACTGTATTTTTCTCCTTTTATTAGATGCTCAATTCTAGACATTTTAAAGACTAAAGCTAATTCATGCATTTCTCTCCCCAGGTAAATATAAGAAAGCTTGGAGTGCTGTTACTTAGATCAATCTCCCCCATCTATTCGATTTTTTGATTCCTCTAAGTTAGTTATTTGAGTCTTGTTTTATATGATCAGTTGTGTTTTGAACTGACCTACATATTTGTCAAGTTCATTTGTTTTTGCCAGGCTCAATGTGCCTCCTGGCATTTCAAGTCTTTTCTTCTGACACTCTTTTTCAAAAGGAAAAAAAAAATTTAAAGATTTATTTCTTTGAAAGGCAATGTAATAGAGGTCAAAAGAGAGAGACAGATTTTCCATCTACCAACTCACTCTGCAAATGCCCATGACAGTTAAGGCTGAACCTGGGGACCAGAATTTCATCCAGAACTCCCACGGGGGTGGCAGGGGCCCAATATGGAGGCCGTCATCTGTTTAAGGAAATGGGACCAGGGCACAGAGAAATGGGAATTCAATCTCAGGAGCTCCAACACAGGAGGCAGAATCCCAAGCGATAGCTTTGCTTGCCAGGACACAATACCAGCCCCCAAAATGTATTCTTCTTTTCTTTAATGCTGAATATATCCAATTTTTATTTGGCAATCATATCTCAATAAATCCAGAAGAAAACAAATAGATTAATATGTTAAAACTGTTTTTGCAATAAGATTTTTAAACATAAAGGCAAAGATCCAAATGTAGAACCAAAGAAATTAGATAAAAATCCAGTAACCACAGTATGAACTCATGATGTATTTTTTTCCTCAAGAAATAAGAAATGTAAGAGATTTTAACTAGCTTGTCCAATGTCAAAGTAAGTGATAGGGTTGTTAACTATCATCAAAACTTTTTTGTTTGTTTCCAAATTCTCTATGTCTTCTTGTCACTGGAGGAAGAGGAGGAATAAAGGAGGAAGTCACACCCAGCTTTTCAAATGTCCCAGAAACAGGAATGGGGAACTGCCACCCAACATCAACCCAGGGTCCTACTATAGTGCGTGTTCCAAGGGTGGTGACCAAATGGTTTGCATAGTTCTGAAATGCTGTTGATTTCACCCATCCAAAGG